TTTTTTTTTTTTTTTTTTTTTTTTTTTTTTTTTTTTTTTTTTTTTTTTTTTTTTTTTTTTTTTTTTTTTTTTTTTTTTTTTTTTTTTTTTTTTTTTTTTTTTTTTTTTTTTTTTTTTTTTTTTTTTTTTTTTTTTTTTTTTTGATTTTATTTTCATTGCTTGGAATCCAGAGATTTTCCATGGCAGGGGAAAGGCTGATAAATATCCTTCCAGCTGCCCTGGGAAGGGCTTTGGTGACAAGGAGTGGTTTTCCTGGTGAGGCCCCTGTGCTGTATTTGTCACGGGGGGAGAACTGGGAGCGGTGGGGAGGAGTAGCTGGGGCAGCCTTGGGCATCTCAGATCTGTGGCAGCTCAGGGCTTGTTGGCCACAGGGATGCTCCTGGGGCAGTTGCAGCTCTCCAAGACTTGCTTGGCCAAGAAATAGCCTGGAAGCCTGAAATTCAGAAAAACAAAAGGGTGCCAGGAGAGAGTGGGGCTGGGGATGCCCAGCTCCATCAGGCTGATTGCCATAACCACGGGATGGAACCCAGGCAGAAACAGAGGCTTTGGACCTGCCCTGGAGATGGTGTAGAGAGAGGATGAGGATCCACATCCTCCTCCCTCCTCCACACCTCGCTGCTCTGAAGCTTTGCTTTCCCTGGATCTCCAGGACCTCCCTGGAAGGCTTCCTGATGTGATGGCCACCAGTACAGGTGACTGGCTGGGCTGTGTAGATGCTGCTGGGAAGGTTTTGGCAGGAGAAACGGCAGTACCCATCCTACCCCTGATGGGCATTGCAGCCTGGAGCCTCTCTGCTGAATCCATGCCATGATCTCTGGGCTGGAGCAGAGTGTGGCAGCAGCAGGCTCATGGCCCAGGCAGCAGGAGGGTTCTCTTGAACTTGGGTGTCCATGTGGCTGGGACTGTTTCCCTGCCAGGAGGAGGTTTTGTGGCTCCTCAGTGAAGCTCTCTGGGATCAGGAGCTTGGTTTTGGTCATGCTGAGCCATGGGAGGTGTGTGGGGCACATCATGCAGGCTCAGGATTGAGGGTGCAGGAGTGTTTGGTTTGTGATGATTCTCCATCCTTAGGAGGAGAAGGACAATTTGTAGCCAAGAGGTAAAACCAAGGAATTTTGATAGTTCCTGCCCTTTCTGGCTTGTTGAGGAGAAAAAAACCCAACTGCAACACACAGGGCAGACAGGGGGCCTTTGGTTTACCATGTCCCTGCTGCAACACGCTGCAGGGTTCAGGGCACATGTGATGCTCTGGCAATGCCCCTGTGCCACCAGCCCCCTGCAGAGGCACCATCCTGGCACAGGTGGCCATGAGCCCAGAGACTTCTGCTGTCCCCAAAAAATCCTAAAAGAAAGCATTCTTCAGTGCAAAGCCCTGAGCAGGCTTTATTTGTCCTGTTTCCTCCATCCTGGAGAGGATCAGTGGGACAGGCTGTCTCTCCTGGGAAGTGGAGAGCCCACATGGCTTGGGAGGCTGCAGGGGTTAGCCCAGCAGCCACCCAGGGCTGTGTGCCTGCTGAAGGTGGCTTTAAGTCAACAGCAGTGAGGCAGTGTTTCTGCCAAGTGGATTTTGGAGGGTGCAGGCTAACAAACAAGGAGCAGGCAGGAGCTCCAGCAGTGTTAGTTAGAGGGAAGAAATAATTCAGGAATTACAGTCACTGGCAGCAAAGGTGATACGTAATATGGTCTGAGTTGTGTGCTTTAATGAGATGGAGGTAATTAATTGATCCATTCAATACCAGCTGCAGTGAAGGAATGGCAGAAGTGTAAGTCACCTGCTATAAAGCCAATGCTGGGGTCACTGGAGGAGACAGCAGCTCCCATGGGATTGTGAGTCCAGAGACTACCACAGCTTCCAGCTCTCCATGCTGGCTCAGGACCCACCAGCGCTCTGGGAACCTGTTGATCCTCCTTGGCCTTAAATCTTCCTTAAAGCCACGTACCAGAGCCACACGCATTCTGGCCATTCCCTAATTCCCTGTGCCCCATCCTGGGCTGGGCGCTGCTCCTCCCCTCCGTGGCTCCATCGGGAGGTGACCCCACCGTGTCCCAGCGAGTGCCGGTGACGTCCCCCCGCCTGCCCGGGGAGCCAGGGGCTGGCGCGGGGACGGCGCTCGGGTTTCAGCAGCTGAATGATATCTTTCTGAACTCCAATTAGTTCCCAGGCACCGGCATAATGGCAGGTCCCCGCTGCCAAGATTAATGGCTGGGGCAGGATCCGGCGTGGCTGGGATGCCTGCGGGAATGCAGTGCCTATTTATAGCGGGAGGAGGAGCAGGACACGGGGCTGGTGGCCCCCGCGCCGCCGCCTTGGCCCCGGGGCCACCGCGGGCTGGCCCGGCCCACGTGTCACAGCAGCGTGGCCTTTTATAGCTGTGTCCTGCGGGGCTCTGCCTCCCCGCAGCGCCCGCGGGGCGTCGGGGTTTAGAGATTTGAGGGAGCTCACTGGGATGGGAATGAAGGGGAAGGTCACAGAATGGCTGTTCTGAGTTGGAAAGGACCCACAGAGATCATCGAGTCCAACTCCTGGCCCTGCACAGGACACCCCAACAACCCCACCACGTGCCTGGGAGCGTTGTCCAAATGCTTCTTGAGCTGTCAGGCTTGGTGCTTCCCTGGGGAAGATGGGTGGAAGGTGGGTGGTGGTGGGCAGGTGGAGTTTGGGGGTGGAGGGCTCTGCGTGCAGACTCTCTCCCGGTGGGAAAAGGGCTCCTTTCTGGCACCTCGGGCTGCCGTGGCTTGGCTGCAGCGATTGGAGCTGGGCCCATCCGGCCACCTACAAGTGTTGGCTGCAAAGCCAAGCTCGTGTCCCCACTCCTGCCACCCACTCTGCTGACTTGGAGCTGGAGTGGGACCAGCAGGGACGGCTGGGGACGTGGCAGCAGGCACGTGTCTGCCCCGTGCTGTTTTCCCTGAGCACCTCCAAAGGGAAGCCCTTTCCCTGGGGCCACTTAGCTGGTTCCATGTTCCCCCAGGGCTGGACCAGGACCGGCATCCCGCCTGCTCAGCCAAAGTTTTTTTGGCCAGCGTTGCCGAACTCATTCTCAGGATGTAGCTGTGGGGCCCCATCAATTTGTGGTGCCTTTCATCTCCCCCTCCCCTTAAACCTCAGGAACCGGCTGCCATCCCAGCGTGGCTCTGAGGGCTCTGGCTCCGGAGCCAGGCTCGCTGGGGACTGAAAGCTGATTTCTTGTCCCTGGTTTGAAGCTCATGGGGCAGGGCTGAGCTCTGAGCACGCACTCTGTGGCTTTTTCTGGGGCCAGGCCAGGGTATTTGAGAGCTGTTACTCAGTTGGCAGCAGGACTGGCTGTACCAGCACAGTTTGGACCGTGTAATTTTGGCCTGGGACTCTTTCCCATTCCCCACCCCTGCCTGTGTGTGCTGCCCTGGGGGCCTGATCAGGCTTAAATCTGTGAACTGATCTGGGTTAAAGGGAAGAAAAAAAAAGGGCACAGGCCATTTTTATCCCTCTTGAGGGGGCTTCCTGTGCTGGGATGGTGGGGCACAGGTACTGGGAAGGTCCTAGGTGTCATATGGGGGTGGTGAGGCCCTGGCACAGATTGCACAGAGGATCTGTGGCTGCCCCATCCCTGGAAGTGTTCAAGGCCAGGGTGGATGGGGCTTGCAGCTACCTAGGATAGTGGAAGGTATCCCTGCCCTTGGCAGGGAGTGAAGCAATGTGATCTTTAAGGTCCTTTCCAACCCAAACCATTCTGTGATTCTGTGTCCCCCTCTGGTGTGACCTCATCCTCCACAGGGGTGCAGGGCATAGGACCCACAGCACCCACGGGTGACATCTCTGGAGGTAATGGAGGGGACACAAGCTCCAGTGACGGGAGGGTGCAGGGGTTTCAGAGGGGCAGGATGACACTGGCCTGTGCCGTGCCCTCAGACGGGTGCTGCCTCTCTTCCAGTGAAGTATATGAAGGAGATCTCCCCTTACTTCAAGAACAACCCCGCGGGGGCCACGGTGAGCTGGGACCCGTCTCCTGGCGCCCCGCAGAAACGATCCTCCCCTGTCCTGCCCCCTCGGGAACTCCGAGAGGGCCGCACGGTGCCGCTGAAGATGTGCTACGTGTCCCGCAAGTGCCTCCCCACCGACCCGGAGCACAGGTCAGCGCGGGGGACCGGGGAGGGTGGCGATGCCACCGCGGTGCCCGGGGTTGGGGGGGCGGCGGGGACCCAGCGGGGCCGTGTCCCTGCAGGTACCTGGAGGTGTGCTCTGCGGACGGGCGCGTCGCCCTCTTCCTGCGGGCGAAGGACGAGGCCACGGCGCAGTCCTGGCTCGGCGCCATCCAGGCCAACGCGGGCGCGCTGCTGCCGCGGGTGAAGGAGGAGCTGCGGGCACAGCTGGCGGCCGCGGGCACGGCGGCCGGGCGGGATGTCAAGCACGTGGGCTGGCTGACCGAGCAGGTAACCCCCTCCACACCCCCGGAAACCACCCCGTGCCACCACGATGCCGGTGGCCCTGACCCAGTCGCTTTGCAGCTCCCCAGCGCCGGCACCAGGAACCTCCTGGCCGTCCTCACGGAGAAGGAGCTGCTGCTGTACGGCAGCCTGCCCCAGAGCCGGGATGCCCTGGGCAAGCCCACGCACAGCTACCCCCTCATCGCCACCAGGTAGGGGCCACCGGCCCGCTACCCTCCCGCCCTGCACGGGGACAGGGTGGTGGCAATGTCTGGGGGGCAGTGGCAGGGGCTGGCAGTCAGGACAGAGCTCCAGGGGTGGTGGCAGAGCCCCAGGGTGGTGGCTGTGACCAGGGATGGTGGCAGTGATCAGAGGTGGTGGCAGGAGCTGGGTGACGGCAGAGCCCCAGGCTGATGGTGGGGGGTGGTGGTGGAGTCCCGGAGCAGTGGCAGGGCAGTGGGGGGATGATGGCAGAGCCCTGGGCGTGGTGTTGGCAGGGCACTGGGCATAGCGACAGTGTCCAGGGGTACTGTCAGGGCGCTGGGGACGGTGGGCTCAGAGCCCCGGGGCTGGTGCGGGGTGTCAGGGCTGGGGGATGGCAGTGTCCCAGAGTGGTGACAGTGTCCCAGGGTGGCGCAGGGCCCTGGGGCTGGCGCAGGGGCTCAGTGCGGGGGCGGGGGCGGTGGCAGTGTCCCGGGGCCGGTGCGGGGGCTCATCCCGGGACCGGTGCGGGGGTTCGGGCGCTGCGGGGGCTCATCCGCGGGGCTGCAGCGCCCCCTGCCGGCCCCGCCGCGCAGCCTTCGCGGAACGGGATGCGGGGCTGTGCTGGGGCTGTGCGGTGCGGGGTGCGGTGCGGGATGGGGGGCTGTGCTGGGGC